TACCCTTTTGTCTATTTGCCCCAGTACCCATTTCTCACGGAGGTTCCTCTTGCATCTAATCGCTCTAACCACCTCCTTTTGCATCCATGGCGGCACTCTCCTCCGCCTCCCTGCCTTTCTAACTAGAGGTATTGTCAAGGCTTGCGCCTCCAAAACCTCCTTTTGAGTGCCATTCACCCCTTGACTCCCTTGCCTTCCAGTAACCCATCCCAGGAGACTTTCCCCAGTCTGGCCTTCAGTTGGCCAAATTTGGCCCTCTTGAAGTCCCAGCTTCTAGTGCTCGACCTGCTGCACGTCCCCAGTCCCCTGATTTCAAAGCAAAGGATGGAATGATCACTTGCATCCAGAGCTCCCCTAATCTGCACTTCATCTATCAGTTCCTCCCTATTGTTCAAGACCAAGTCAAGGGTGTTTCCCCCCCTCGTCGCCTCTTGGACCCTCTTGTGTGAAAAACCCTCCCTCTATAGCTTCTAGGAAGCGACGTGACCTGGCTGTCACCGCCGTGTGAGTCTCCCAACTAATATCCAGGAGATTGAAATCTCCCATAATTACTGTGTCTCTCCCCCGAGATAGCCTTAGAATCTGGCCTGTCAGGACATCATCCAGGGTCTCAAGTTGACCTGGAGGACCATAACATACCCCCACTGTCAGGTCTCTTTCCCTGTCAAAACCCCTAAGTTCCACCCAGACTGCCTCTACTGAATCCCCATCTGTGCTGCATTCTATCGCACTGCATCCTATCCCTTCCCTGACATAAAAAGCCACGCCCCCACCTCTCTTTCCCTTCCTGTCCTTTCTAAAAGGGTGATACCCTTCTGTGTTCACATTCCAGACTTACCTTTCATCCCACCAAGTTTCTGTGATTCCCACCAGGTCATACCCTCCTATTCCCAGGAGAGCTTCAAGCTCTTCCTGCTTATTACCCATGCTTCTAGCATTGGTGTACATGCACCTCAACTCCTTCCCACCGCTTTCTTTCCTTGGAGTTCCCAGCCTCCTGCTTCCTTCCATCCTCCCCGATACCTGGCCCCTCTCTGTAGGAGTCCTGGAACTTCCCCAATCAGCCGCAGCCAACTTCATGACATTATGAATCCATGTATCGAGTTTGTGAACAGAATATTCCATTCTCCTGCGTCACCCGAGACCGAACTCGGGTGGAGTTGTCTCAAGGCCGCGAGTTGAGGGAATATACCACTCCTTACGATAAAGAAGGGTGAAAGATCAACATGTTGGCTTGCCATATTTATGCCGCCATAGGTCTCGGCCTTCGGATTTCCAATTATGATGCAACGCTGGCCCGCTACCAGTATTTTCTTATGCAAAAGCTGGAAAATATCGCAGTGTCGCTTCCGGAACAGCAGAGAGACCTGGCCCGGATTTTCACCAAAGAGGCAATGCAGGTGGCGGTCCAACAACTCTCCACGGCGAGACACCATGTTGATTGGGACTCGAGGGCCCTCGTTGGTGCTGTAGCCCTCTGTCGCCATGCCTGGCTCTGGAACTGCAACTTTCCAGATAACAAAGCACTGCATCGAGAACATGCCCTTTGATGGCTCGGGGCTGTTCAATGCTTGGACGGACCACAAGATGAAGACGATTCATGGATCGCGTGTGACAGCTCACTGGATGGAAGTCCCCAACCTGTTTCAAGGAAAGTGGTCTTGGTCCTGTCCATCGTACCTGTATCAACCCTATACACAGTTCTCTGACCGGCATCAGTTTCAGCCTCGTCAGCAGTGCTGAAAGCAATCACCACAGCGTTTTCAACAGAGCTGCCGATGACCAGATTCGGATAAACGCCAGCACTGATGGGCTGAGCAAGCCTCTTCTCATCTCCTGAACCCACCCTCCCCTCTTCCTTTTGGGGATTGACTGCAAAGTCGACTCCCCATTTGGGAGTTCATCAGATCTGATCAGTGGGTTTTATCCATCATGGGGCACGGTTACAGAATCGAGTTCGATACCATATCCCTATCTGGACAGATCCGATTTACACCTCAGTCATTGGTTCTCAAAGACAAAGTCCAACAGCTTCTTCGTAAGGGAGCGATCCAACAACTTACACACTCCGAAGGGTTACACGGTTTCTACTCAAGATATTTCATGGTTCCTAAACATGACGGTGGTCTTTGTCCGATATTGGACTTACGTGGTGCCAACAAATTCATCAAAACTAAACAGTTTTGGATGACCACCCTTCAAAACATTCTTCCATTGCTCAGGAGAGAGGATTGGTTCTCTTCTCTGGACTTAAAAGATGCTTATTTTCATATCAACATCCATCCATCTCACAGGCGTCTTCTTCAATTTATGGTCGGTTCTGACCAGTTTGAATATAACATTTTACCATTTGGACTGGCTACTGCTCCTCGGGTCTTTACTAAATGCATGGCCCCAGTGTGTGTGCATCTCCGGCTCCAGGGAATTCAAGTGTACCCTTACTTGGATGACCGGTTGATTGTCTCTTCATCTAGAGAAGGCCTTCGATCGTCGATTCGGACTACGTGTACCCTCTTAGATGATTTGGGACTGTGTATTAACCACGAAAAATTGTGCCTTGTTCCTTCACAGATCACTGATTTCATCGGAGCCCGTCTCGACTCTACAATGGCAAAGACTTTCCTTCCTCAAGGACGACAAGACAACCTTCGTGCATCCATTCGGTAAATCCACATGGACAGAACTGTTCCAGCACTATTGGTGCAGAAGCTCCTCGGACACATGGCCTCCACAGTCTCTATGGTCTCACATGTCAGATTACGGATGAGGCCTCTTCAGCTGTGGTTCAACGGCCTCTTCCAGCCTCAACGAGACTCACTTCACTGGCTCCTTCACCTCCTGACTTCCATTCTCCAGACCTTATCATGGTGGACTATACAGAGCAACCTGTGTGTCGGCATTCTGTTCCGCCCACCTCACCCAACACTGACTTTGTTCACTGATGCCTCCCTTACCAGGTGGGGAGCCCTGTGTGCTGGCCTCCGTACTCAAGGCATTTGGGACTATCATGAGACTGCCAAGCACATCAATTACCTGGAACTACTGGCAGTTTTCAAAGCCCTTCGGTCATTCGAGAGCACACTTTGGGGACAAATTGTTCATGTTGCCTCCAACAACATTGTATTCTATATAAACAAACAGGGCGGAACGAAGTCTGCCTCCCTGGCTCACCTGGCTATGGAACTGTGGGACTGGTGCATCCCGAGGGAAATTACCCTCCTCGCCCTTCACCTAGCCAGTACCAACAGCAAGGAGGCGGACGCACTCAGCAGACAGATGTCAGCGACCCATGAATGGGAATTAGATCGTCAGATCTGCCATCACCTCTTTCAGACTTGGGGCCCTCCAGACATAGATCTGTTTGCCACTCATGCGAACACAGTATGCAAGGCATACTGCTCCCGAGCGGGCATTGGCCCGGGGTGGCGGGGGGGGGCGCTCTAATGATCTCGTGGATGAACACGTTCTTTTATGCGTTCCTCCTGATACCACTTATTATGAGAACTCTTGCCAAGATCACCTTCAACAGGGCTCAGGGAATTCTTGTTACTCCCTGGTGGCCCCGCCAACCATGGTTTCCACATCTTCCTACACTCAATTTAACAGCCTGGCTCATTCGATGAGTCATAGTGCTCCTTCGATACCAACAGCTCCCGTGGTCCTGACGCCGACCCGACGGTGTCCAGACACTGCTGCTCGTTCTCCCTCGATACCAACAAATGCTCCATCAGATCTGAGTGCTCTGCATCCTGATATTCAGTTCATTCTCCTGTCTACGCTAAGACCTACAACCTGCCGCTCTTATGCGGCTAAATGGAGGCGCTTCACGTCTTTTGCTGAATCCAATAACGTTGTTGCTCACTCAGCCTCCATTGAAAATATTCTTCCATTTCTCCTGTCATTACACCAGACTGGACTGAAACCCTCATCCATCAAAGTTTACATTGCAGCAATTTCTCATTACCGTGGCCAGGTGCCAGGCTCATTGGCATTTTCTAATGTCCTCATTCGTCGATTCCTTAGAGGACTACAGACTCTTCAGCCACCGATTAGGCCAATATTCCGACTTGGAGCCTCTCTGTTGTTCTACAGGCGCTCACCAGGCCTCCTTTCGAGCCCTTGGCAACTACCGACTTGCGCCTCTTGTCCTGGAAGACTGCTTTTCTCGTCACGATCACGTCAGCTAGAAGGGCCAGTGAGCAACGTGCCTTTCTGTCCCTGTCAGAGTGCTGGGTTGGCATATGCCCCTGCAGCAGAAGTGAGGGAATACGTGCAGCTTGTGCGGAGTCAAAGTATGCTGGCTGTTTTTGAAAGGTCCTTGAAGCAAGAGTGTGGGGTTCTGTGCAAGCCCTGTTGAAAGCCAAAAGTAAATGTCCTCTACACTTGGGCCGAACTGCGGTCTTCTGTGGATTGGAAGTGCTCTTCCCGTCTGGGTGGGTGCTGCTTGGTGTGCAAATATGCATGTTCTTGAGTTGCACACAGCTTCAGACAGGAGTGAACGAAGGTGCTCTCTTACTTGCAGAGGAGTACTGCAGAACTGGTGTCTGCCTTCTGCTGGCAAACTTAGTCCAATAAGAGGTAAACCTTAGTGTTGCTGATTTCTAGGATCAAGCATCTCATCAGAATGACTCCAGCTTTCTTGTATTTAGTATATACATTTAAAAGCAAGTTTACTCATCTAAAAGCTGTCAAGGAGTTGCTAATTTAAGTTTGGAAGTGTTAACTTGCAGGGTAACTGTACTGATAATTATCTAAACACTTTAAGGAAAGCATATTGTGAAATATATTTCAAATATTTCTGTATTTCATTTGTGAAATTATGGTGGAAGAAAGATAGATAATCTTTGGAGACTTATCAGAAGTTGTTGATAATCTTCGCGGAAGTGACTCAGACTTGAAAGATCTGTGTTTAGCAAATGAATTTCTCTTCGAGGGTGAGTTTTAATCTCGGCTGCAGTGTTTATTTTTGACTGATGAAGTTTTATTTTCCTTAATTGCAGCTGTGTATACAATTCATGGGAGAAGATGATTTTTCACTGTTTGGTTTTCAGAACTCGCTTCAGAAGCAGAATGAGGTTTGATAAAATATTTCCTGTTTAGACAGTCTCCTGAATCTGTGACGTGCAGCTTGAGGGGAGAACTCTAAATAAAGTTCTTTAGCAAGAGTGTAGTTTTCTGGATGCCTTATATTTTTCAGATTAAAGAATTGCTGTCAGCCTAATCACATCAAGGGATGACAACTAATTTAGTTCTTGAGAACCAGCTCTGTGTGGGATCTTTTGGATCCCAGGAGGGGGGATCCTGTAGCCCATGACATCACATCCAGGCACAGTGGTGTGCTGGAAGTGTTAACACAACGTGCAAAGTGTCTGCCAGCCCTTCTGTTCAGGGCATGGAACCAGTAATGCCAAGGCTGCCATGGGAGCAGCAGAGGGCCACATAGGAAAAGGCAGTGCATTCCTAGATGCATGCTTACTGCGTGGCAGAGTCCGTTGCTTCTGGTGGTAAGGAGGACATAGTCCCTGTTTATGAAACAGATGGGCTGCATTATTTATTTAATTATTTATTAAAACATTTCTATGCTGCCCCTTGCCGAAGCCTCGGGGCGGCTCACAGCACAAATAAAATACATTAAATGCAAAAATAACAATATAAAATTAACAATATAAAATAAATAACAATATAAAAGAAGTTGCCCTGGCCAGATAAATAAGCAAATATTGTTAACAATTAAAATGACGTTTAAATAAAAAGGTCTTCGCCTGGCGCCGAAAAACAAATAACGACGGCGCCAGGCGGACCTCTCTGGGGAGCGCATTCCATAGATTGGGTGCCACCGCAGAGAAAGCCCTCCTCTGAGTACCTATCCTCCTAATTTCTTTCACGGAGGGTTCCCGGAGAAGGGCCTCTCCCGCAGATCTCAAGGGGCGGCCGGGCATATATGGACGTAAGCGCTCCTTCAGGTAACCAGGTCCCAAGCCGTTTAGGGCTTTATAGGTCATCACCAATACCTTGAATTGGGCCCGGACTTCAATGGGAAGCCAGTGAAGCTGACGGAGGACTGGAGTCATGTGAACATAAAGCCCAGTCCCCGTCAGTAGCCTGGCAGCTCTATTTTGAACCAACTGAAGTATCCGGACCGTCTTCAAGGGAAGCCCCACGTAAAGCGCGTTACAGAAGTCAAGGCAGGAAGTCACCAGTGCATGTGTCACCATCGCTAGGCAGTCGTACTCCAGGTAGGGGCGCAGCTGATTAATCAGCCGAAGCTGAAGGAAAGTGCTCCTCGCCGCCGCTGTCACGTGTGTTCGGTCAGATTCATCCCGTGATCTCCTCCACCTACGCTCTAGCCATCTCCCAACCTGCTTCATCGCCTGCAATTCAGGTGTATACCAAGGGGAAGAGCGGGCTCTGCCCGGTGGGAGAGGACGCTTAGGAGCGATTGTGTCCACAGCCCTGGTCATCTCCCTGTTCCACAGTTCGACCAGAGCCTCGACAGGAGCACCAGTCTTGTCAGCCGGAAACTCCCCCAGGGCCTTCAGGAATCCATCCGGATCCATCCGGCTCTGGGGGCAGACCCACACAATCGGGTCCGCACCCTTACAGAGGGAGAGGCTGCTCTCGAGCACAAACCTCACCAGAAAGTGATCTGACCATGACAGGGGAGTCAAACATAAATTCCTCACCCTCAGACCACCCTCTTCCTGCCTCGTCGAGAAAACCAGGTCCAGAGTGTGTCCATGTTCATGGGTCAGGCCGGAGACATGTTGAGACAGCCCCATGACCGTCATGGAGGCCATGAAGTCCTGAGCCGCCCCGGTCAGACCAGACTCGGCATGGAGATTGAAGTCCCCCAGGACCAACATCCTGGGGGTCCTCAACACCAGGTCCGAGACGGTCTCCGTCAGCCCAGGCAGGGAGACTGTTGGGCAGAAGGGTTCACAGTACACCAACAGAATCTCCAATCTGTCTCGGTTGCCCAACACCAAGTAGAGGCACTCCAGCCCTGGTCTTGAAGGGACCGGAAGTCCCATGAGAGAGATGGAGGCTCGGTAAACCAAAGCAACCCCCCCTCCCCTCCCCTCCGGGCGTGAACAGTGCTGAACCAGATACCCGGGCGGGCATAGTTGAGAGAGGGCAACATCCCCCCCCCCTCCCGCCCAGGTCTCCGTTATACAAGCCAGGTCGGCCCCCTCATCCACAATCAAGTCATGGATGAGGGAAGATTTATTATTGACCGACCTGGCATTGAGCAGCAGCACCGTCAGGCCCGAGGGGCAGTTGACAAGACTACCTGGCACCCTCTGGCTGGGGGCAAAACCAGAAGGAGGGATAGGTGTCAGCCATCTGTCCCTCCTCCTTCTACGTGGACACGTTAAGCCCCCACCGCTGTTACGTCCATTGCCCAAGACCACGCTAATGGCGGCGCCCGCGCGCTCCCCAGGAAACATAAACATCGACATGGCCAGGGACGACTCCATAAAAACAGATTAAAATAGAATAAAATTATAAAAGCAGTTAAAAACTCCCCCTTCCCTAACATTCAACGGCAGGCGGGCCAATTTCAACAAAAAGCCCCTGGCCAGCCCAGCCCCCCGCTCGGCCCCCGAACAGCTCCCAAACGGCGGCAACCGCCCTTCGGCCACCGCCCTTCGGCCGCCGGCCTCGGCTGCCGCCGGCGCTTTGAGGCCGCAGGGCGCTCCCGAAGCCCCGCCCTGTCCCGCACGCCTCTCACCCGTGCGGGGGGGCGCGGCAAGCCGGAACCGGTCCCGCGTCCTGGCCAGTGGTACTGGCCTCCATCGGCGGCGCGGCGCGGCAGCGTGCAGCTGTTGGTGCGCGAAGGTCCTTCCTGCAGCGCGGGGGAGGTTATTAAAAGGGCCCACTTGGATGCACATGTCACAGCAGGATTAAAATCTCATGTAAATGGAAGATCCTGCTAATAGAGAAGGTGCTGGTTCCATCAGTTTGGCTGCCTGTGTGTGTGTGTGTGTGTTGGGAGTGGGAAGCCAGGCGATCCAACTCCAGGTTCATGGAAAACTTTAACCGCTCCAGCTTGGTACCCTTTGCATGGCCACTGGTTGGAAATTGTGGGAGCTGTGGTCCGACACATCTAGAGGGCACCAGCTTGGGCAAGGCTGCTGCAGCTGCTCTTGTTGACCCCACAGTGCAAGGGCGTCTGCTTTTCACTGCCAAGCTGTTCTTGTCTGAAAAGGCAGCTAACACATCTGTGATTTAGATTCATCGTCCAGATGTTTCTCAAACAAATTGGCAGCAGATTTGAGGTGTCAGAGAGGGACAGGCAGATGTGACCCTTGGAGCAGAATATTACACATTTTCTGTACTAACTCCATTGAAAAGAATGAGCTCTTCGGACACAATGATACTTTTATGTAACCCCCATCAATGAATTTGATGGTTTCATATTTGCTGTTCATTTATTGATGCAACTCAAGAATAGAAGATAGCCTCTGTCCCTCTCCATAACATGAAAGTGTTCTCCAAAAATTTGTTATACCTCTATAGCAAGATCTTGTTTGAAAGGATTCTCTTCTTGTAATATATGCATATGTTCAAAGTAGTCCATATATATATATATAGGGACAAACTTACAGCCTATGGTTATGCTAGAAATCTGCCATTTAGAATTTATCTTAAAATGTTTTTAAGAGCTAGTTCTGCTAGAGAATGCAAAAATGTTGCGCTCGTGCGCGTGTACATACATGTGTGCACTTTCATCTTTTCTCCTATCTAAAGTCAGTTCTGTTACTACAATAGCCTCATGATGTGGGATATTTGTACGCAGCAAGGTCAAATCCATTGTAACCAACCAGTTATCTTTTACCTGTGCTAATACATGCTGCAGGAGATTGAAGAACTACCGTATTTTTTGCTCTATAAGACGCACTTGACCATAAGACGCACCTAGTTTTTAGAGGAGGGATCCACAGAAAGCTTCCTGATAATCACAGGCACATTCCCCATCACTTCCCCTTGGGCTTCATTAAAAGACAGGTTGCCATTTGAAAACACACACCGACCTGTGATTAACCTGCTCTCACCTGCGCCGGAGGAGGGGGGCGGAGCAGGGCGCGCCAAGTGCGTGCCGGCTAGGTGTGGTGCAGCCGGGCCAGCAGCATGCCGGCGGTGGTCTTCCAGGCGGTGGCGGCGGCAGGTCTTCCCGGGCGGTGGGGGTGAGCAGTCCATCTCTCCATGAGGCCTACAGGTTAAAGCCTGCGGCTCCTCCTCCTCCGCGGCAGGTCTTCCCGGGCGGTCGGGGTGAGCAGTCCATCTCTCCATGAGGCCTGCAGGTTAAAGCCTGCGGCTCCTCCTCCTCCGCGGCAGGTCTTCCC